AACTGCTGTTAAAATCTAGTATAGGGACCCTATTCTTTTCAGTTTATATTGTGCTTACATAGTACACATTCATAAATAAATGAGTATTCAATCAAGTTACCACAAACTACATACCATTACTAACAAATGACATTGCTGCCTTCATCTATCTATTAAAGTGACAGCTTTTTGTTATTAAGACACACTGTAGGTATCTTTTATGTTAGCTACAGCTTCATTCACACGTGACAGCTCATTTACAGTAAGAGACACAATTTTAGCATGATATTTGGTGCACAGAAGGGAGCGATGGTAGACCATTAGCTATGATATCACAGAAGAAGAGTTCTCTCAAAAGTGATGAATTTTAAAACATATTTTGCTGTGAGAGCCTTAAAGTCGCCCTCCAGTCAGAAATGTGTGTTTCTTGTTCCAACAGTGTGGTGTTTGATCTTCACTGTGCAGAATGCTGGGTCATGTGCAGAGTTTGAACACTAGAAAGGGATGTTTTCACATTCATTCCTGCTGAAAGTTGAGAAAGTTCCTCTGATGCTTCACTTTGAACATTCTGATTTTAAGGGGTTGTGGGGCCTATTTAGCACGGGATTTTTGGTGACATTCACAAATTAGTTTTAGAAAGTCAGTTCTCTTTTTGGTCCAGCTATCCAACTTGTACAGTGTGAATGTAGAAACTGAAGCCCACCCAGTGCACATCCACTGAGAATGGACTTTACAGTGAAGTAGGAGACATCTTGTGTCCAGCAGGAAAACTTTAGAAATGAACAACATTTACATATTCAGAGATTCTGGAGTTTTTAATGAGGTAGAAGGTATAGATGACTTTTTAAGATATCAGACACACATTATTGTTCCAAGCAGATTATTTATATGTATGTCTTGATACATGTCTGGAGGGCATCTTTAATTAATGACCATTGCGAGCACACGGGACACTCATCACTCTCACAGTGAAGCCACTAATGAACGTTTTCAACCAGGCTGTAAACATATTTATTTCTGCTGTAAAGTTGGGCATTATAAAGGGGCTTTATAGAGATAGACTCACTTCTGGAGCCAGCCTCAAGTGGCTGTTAGAGGAACTGCTTTTGTTATGTCCGTGTTGGCTTCAATTTCCTTAATCTGTCAGTTCAGACCTAAACCGTGTTAAAATGCTACTTGGTCTGACCTAAGAGTGCTGTGAGGATGACGAATATGTAAAAGACATTGCACGTCTGAAAAGGGTGTAATACAAGGGCCCACAGTCCTTGAGTCAGTTAATGAGACCCTGCCCAAAACACCTGCATTTGTGTATTTTGTGTTTGTGTAAAATTGATGAAAATATTCCTTTATGAGCCTGTAATGTCAGTGGAATGATGGTAGAATATGATGGTGCAGTTGCCCTGTATAAGGTTAAAATGTCGCCTTTTTAAGTGCAGTCTTATCACTAAGTGTGGGGTTGCCATACATAAATGCCACGTTTACATGTTTTCGTGTGCATCAAACAGAATCTTAAAGTGAATATGTGCCTGTTGTAGATAAACTGACAGTGAAGCTCTGAAGCATTGCTCTTCATATTTCTCAATTTTTAAAGATAAAACCCTCTTTCCTTTTGAGTTGAGGTCAAAGAGACATACACATCTTCTGCTTTTTGCCCCGCACCATCCCTTTTTCTGTTTTCACTCTGTACCATTGGCATCTTTGAAGTCTCCTCCACCTCAAAGCAAACAAGAAAGGATGAGAAGCCTGTCCTGAGGTAGAGCAAAGCTGTGTATCTTTCACTGTAATTGCCAAGTTCTGTGACCTGAACTCAGGGTATCTGGAGAAAGCGCACTGCTCCTCCTGCATGACTACATGGACTAAAAGCTACTGAATCATGTAATGTAACAATAGCTTTGGGGCAGTGATGCCAAAACCCATTATAGATCACACTCAGTTGCCATACACAGCTGATGTTGCAGTACAGTATTCTCTACAGCAGTGCTGTGTGTATTCGGTCCAACCGAAATGACTAAAAAAAAACACATTTTCCCTGGCGGTATCTAGTCATGAAGATAGTTCTGGTTTTATTAGCCTAGGTTTTTGAGATGTGAGGTTTCTGGCTTCATCCCTATACAGTATGGTGGTGAATGTACTGAGCCGATATGTTTCTGAAGATCCTTGGGCAGAGGCCTCTTGCCTGATCCAATCAAACTGCAAGAAATAAGCCTTGCTGAATCATGATTGTATTGGAGACTGTAAACTTAATTTCTGTTTACTTATTTTATGGTGTTTTACTGAAATTTGTTCAGTTGCATTGTGAACCTGCTTAAAGCTGCACTCATCTTTTTTTTTTGGGACCTTGGACTTTGTATTATGGGCAAAGAGCGAAAACATCTTTTCCATGGATAAAAGCCTTCAGCACCGTTCTTTGCTCTTCTTTCAATGAAGAGATACTCTCCAGTTCTAATAGAACTGATGCTAGCAGCATCTCGGCTAACCTCTTTAGCAGCTGCCATTGTTGTTTTCCAGCAAACAAACACACGTTAGGCGTTAAACCACGGCCGTAGCTCGTGCCTTAGCTAATAGTAGTTCCATATAGGATGCTGATTGGTCCCAACCACTGTGGTTTTGACACAAATGCGTAGCTTGAAGCCTGGCAAGACGGATGCTGCCGTGATCCAGCTGCCTCACGAGGTTACTTGGACTAACTAATAACCATGCACATTTAACACATTATGACCTTGTAAAGTTTGTAAAGTTTTAGCCTTTTTTCTAGAGTCTTGCTTCTGGTGACTCAGTGAATCACTATACTTTAAGCTTTTGGTTTCCTGAAAGGAAAATAACTGACTGATCATAATAAAACCATTTTTTTGTAATTTGGTAAACCAGCCCTTTAAAGCTGCAGTAGGTAATTTTTATGAAAATTATGGTCATCATTTTTGTCATTTCACTATATCCTGACTGTAGTACATGAGACAGATAATCTGTGAAAGAATGTGGTTCCTCGGGTTCGTTTTAGTGCTCCTAATAGCATTTGTAAGAATCCACCAGGCCTGAACAAAAACAACCAATCAGAGCCAAGTAACAGTAATTGAGTCTCATTCCCAGGTTGTCAGATACAGATGCTTTGGGACCCTGGGAATTAGACAATCAACTATCTTCAAGCCTCCAACCCAGATCCACTTTATATCTTTCTGGGCTCTGATTGGTTGTTTCGTTCGGGCCGGTGGATTCTTTCAAATATCATTAGGAACACTAGGAGGAGCCAGAGGAACCTGATGTGATTTTTTTTACAGATTATCTGTCTCATGTACTACTGTCAGGATATAGTGAAAGTTTCAGCAAATATGAAAAAAAGTATTTTTTTTTATAAGAAATAACCATGCAGCTTTAAGTCCCCCCTGCAAAATAGCTTTCTTTTTATTTAGAAATAACACTCCAATGTGAAGTGTAAAATCTTGTGTGCTAAGATCACACTATTACCTTGCTACATATAAAAGAGAGTCTACTTTTAAGGGATCACTGGAACCAGATTGGGGTTCATTATGGGATTGAGGGATGTGGTCTATGTAGCTGTACGTTCTATTCATTTCCCAGCTTATTTCAGTCCTTTCCCTTCTCTGAACCTCACTAGTCATTATGGACTGTTGTACCTCTCAATGTCTCTCTGTATGCAGGACCTGGGGTGAGACATGTTGTTCATCTCTTAAGCCCATTTAACAGCTCGTTACCCATTCGTCTCTTTTGCCCTCTTTTTCTCTGTTCCAGGCACTCATCACTTCTTGGTCAGGTTCCATTTTTGCTAATGCCGCGGAAATGAGCCGTGGGCACTGCAAAGTAAAGTAGAGCAGATTTGTGGTGGCATTTTACCGCTGCACTCCATGAAAACACAAACAGGGCCAGGTGAAACAAGGCTCAACACACACAGGCGATGAAGACACGGGAGCACCCAATGACACAGAAAGCCCAGAGGTTGGCCACATGTAATTTAATTGGACAGCAGTTAAAACACATAAGGGGTAAGGTGTTACACTGAACATAATGCTTCATTAAACCAGATTAGAGGTGAACAACAGAGATACTGTTCCACACAGAGGTGAGTGGCTTTATTAGTGTGAATAACACTGGTTGGACCATTCTTGCCTAAATACTGCAAATAAAAATACTAAAATATAAAAATAAACATACTTGTAAAAGGTACAACTTCAAACAATTATTAAATATACCAGAACATAGTTTTGAAAAATTACTCTTTGATGGGAAAGTCTTCTTGTGTTCAACATGGGTCTTATACTCATACAATGCTGAAGGGATAACGCATTTTTATAGTTCAAACTGGAAGTAAGCATTGCTCTGGTTTCAACAAAAAGTAAATAGGATTTTCCCTTTGGATTTTGGATTATTGCGGAAAATAAGCTCTGTTAAAAACAAAGGTTTCAGATCACTTCAAACTTAATTACATTTACTGACATATGTTGCGTTACTTCAGGGTATCTAACCAGAAACGCCTCCAAAAAAGTCCCTGACTTCAAGGCAACTCATTTCCAGATTTTAGGACTCATGCAGCGCTATGGCTATGCTAACTAAGAGCCATGCTCAAACTTGTTACCTACATCTTGGCTCGTAGCAGTCTCCTAAAACCTTCCTAAGAGATTTCAATTTCACATAAAACAAGTAAACAGAAATTTTACCCAATTTCTAACTGCATAGGGCTCCATCTAGCTTAACAGCAGTGCAAAGCTATAGCAATATAGCGGGTGAACATGCTAGAGTAAAGTAGTAGCAAATTAGATTTTTGTAATATATTTTTATCTTCATTGAAGTTATTAATATATATATACATATATATATATATATAGGAATATGTAATACATTTGTATTACTCCAGCTGTGGAAATAGATCCTTTAATAATTGTAATTGTTAATTCAGCAGGCTTTCTTTCTCTTCTTCAAGCATAGCCATGTTAACTAAAGCTAATGATGCTAAATCATCAGCATATCACAGCCTCACACGTAAACAAACAAATGAGAAGCTAGTTTGGTTAGCCACAAAGTTACCCTAGAAGTAGATCCCTTAATGATTGCAATTGTTAATTCAGGAGGCTAATTTCTATGTTTACTTCCTGAAGCATGGCTATATTAACGAAGCATGAGGCTGTGATATGCTGAGGATTTAGCTCATTAGCTCTAGATAGCTAGCATGTCAGGAAGTAGATTCCAAAGGTGTTAGCCTTTATTCTCTTTAGGTGAGACTCTGAGACAGGTGTTGGAAACAAATTAGAAAACGTGAGCTTATTTATATAAATGCTTCCCCTAGTGTATGCTACAAGAAAGATGGCGAGTGTAAAGTTGAACAGCCGCCAGCATGGCCGAATTTGAGAATAAAACCCACATTGAAAAAAATGAAACTTTCCCTTTATTAACTGTATATGATGTTTCCTATTCCCCATTATTTCTTAATGATAATGTTTTTAAAAGATTCTATAAAACTTTAATATATACACAATACATGAAAAACAGAATTCTAACTACTTCGTATCACATTCAGTGTGAACAGTCCGAAGCTGTTGGGAACATGATTAGAAACAAACAGATTTCAGAGGTCAGACGGTGGAGTCCAGAGTCTGTTCGGGGTCAGGACAGTTCATCATGAGGAAGAGGCGTTTGGAAAGCTCCGGGCCGACCCGTCGAGACGTGGAGGTGACGCCTTCTCCTCTGCGGATCAGAAGGTCAGACAGCAGGGAGATCTTCTCGCGGTCCGTCTTGCACAGTTTATAAGCCTGTGGACAGACAAGGAAATATTCAATATAAAGAAAAAGAAAAAAAAGTTGCATTATTCTAATATGTTCACAGATGTTCCTCTTTAGATAGGACTGAAAATGTTTGCCTTGACATTTAAGGACTCATTCCCTTGTGGGCTTAATTGACACCCTGATTCAAAAGTGTACTAAAGTGTGTTATTTATAAGATGCATTTACAATAGGAGGGACGTGGCACTTGCCTTGAAGCTGCTTTTAAAAATGCAGCTATGATGCTTTTAACAAGGATAAAAAGCAGTTAATATAAAACATGTAATCAACAGAAAACGCAGGACAGTTTAAAGTGTTCAAATTTGAACATATTTGCTTTCCTGCCAAGGTTGTCAGACTGAAGTTGATGAAATAAAAAAAGGAGAAGAAAAGGAGAGGTCTGGACACACACCCTGTCACTGCATAGGTTGTACAGTCTATATATTAGCAGTTTGAGGCCAGTAATAAACACAGGATTTACAAATAACATGTAAAATGGGTCTGAACTAAGGCTGCACTCTTACTCAGTTTAAAAGCAATGATGAAACAAAAGGGAACAGCAGTAACCCTAACAAAAGAAATCAATTCAATGTATCATTACACAACAAAACAATATATTTATATTAGAATAATATAGTTTTAGTCATTACTGCACACCAAATGATTCATTTTTTTGTATTGTAATATAGTAATATAATATATATATTATAATAATAGTAAACAAAAATGGTAACTTCATATATTCTTATATTTTCTTATATCCCCAATGTAAATAGGATTGTCTATGTCAGCCACAGAGGTCATGTTATTTTCCATCATCGATTGAATTGTTAACAATGACAGAAAAATCTGAAGGCTGTCCGTCATTATGACTAATTAACACTGATGGGGGTTCTACTGAAACGTTAAGTAATTCACATCATATAGACCAGTGGTTCCCAACCTTTTTCATTAAGGAACCCCTTTTCTATCATTGAGTAAACTGAACCCTGACTGAGCTTTTTTAGTTTTTTTGATATTTTTAGGAACTTTTTATACAATTCTCTGTCTGCATTATGCATTGTCTTTATTTTGAACAATCATACACTCTCAATAGACTCCTTTTTCTGACAAATTCACAGTTTTCTTTGCCTAGATGCTTGCCATTTTTCTATTAGCTGAATACTTTTCAAATACAGGACGAGGCTATAAACAAAGTGAAGGCCCTGTAAATATACATTGTGCTTAAATAATAATATAAACTTTAAAAGTAACAATTTCATTTTGTTTTCTTCACAGAAATGAATGAAATGCTGAGATATAGGCTTACTGTGTATGTATTTAAATAGGAGAACACCAACCTGATTACCTTGTCTGGGGCTTTGCGACTAAGCTCAAATTAAACTTGATACTGATGAGATTCATGATAGCTTTGCGATACAAGCAGATAAAAGTGATAGTAAAGGTTTCAGGTGCAGACAGCGTAGCATTGGTGATTAGCGTACCTTCTTGAGCAGCTGTGGGGAGGGATACGCTGCCAGGATGGCGGAGGCCATGTCTGGACTGACTCGGTTCAGCTGTTGGATCTGTCTCTTCCACACCTGCAGTAGCCCCTTCCCGGCTTTATCCACCCGCTGCCCTCCCGCCCACTCACTCTCCAGGTAGAAGGAGAAGCCCGTCTTCTCCCTCTCTCGCCTGAAAACACACAGAGGAACGCGGGAGGATGAGTGTTTGATCTGACAGGGAAAAGAGACGTGCGGAGTTGTAAAGAGCTCGCTCACTTGAAAGGGGCTTCTGCGACTGCTTTGGTTGTCATGGCGATGTGATCCGAGAAGTCCTTCCAGGTCGACAAGAAGCGGACCGAGGCGCCAGTGTGAAGCTGGAGGTGCACCACTGCCTGATGGGATATTGAAAGAAGGAATGTGAGTCACTATGAACACTAATTAACCCCTAAATCTAAATCATCCTTAAAGCCGCAGTAGAAATGAATAGATTATATTAAGGGGGTTTTAATGGATAATCTGCATGGTTGAAGGGGTTATTATAAATTCACCAAACACCATTAAAGCATTACTCTCCTTAACAGAAAGTCAAGGTCCCTTAAATGTAAAAATTGAAGGTTCAGTGTAACATTTAGGAGGATCTATTGGCAGAATTATATATATATAGTGAGATGGCACTAAATCCTACACACTGCACCTCCAAGGGATGGTTTTATTTTTAAAAATTCTGGGTCCATCTTAAAGGATTTATACCCTTTATAAAGCCCACACAATGCAGATAATCCATTAAAAATACATTCATATCTTAAAATTCCATTTGTTTTTCATTGATTATTGCCCCTCATTAGTTAAAGGTGAATTAATGGAACTTTAAGCTACAAAATCTAGTGAATACTTTAACAAACATAAAGTGTTTTCTCATTAAACATTTCTTTTTTCTCTAAATAGTGAAAAATGGGGATGTACTTCCTGCAGCAATCGACCTACCTCCTCCACTTCAACTCGTGACACCTCAGGTAGCGCCTCAGCTCCGCCATTCTTCCTCGTCTTCTTCGCTTTCCCTCCCCCTCGCTCCTCGCCCGCGACCGCATCTCGGAACCTCTTCTGGGTTTGTGACTTGTGGGATCTGAGGACAAAAAGTTGATAAGTACTTTCACTCCGGACATCGTCTGTTTCTCAAAGTGCATTCATTTCCTTCTTCTCGCACATATTTCCCTCTCTGACGACTCTCTGCCGATGGTGATAGGTGACATGTTCCCACATGCTAAGGTGGCAGCAGACGTGTTTGCGTACACGGTGTCTGAGTGCTATTCCTTGTTGTTTTTTAACATGTCATTGAGTGCTATACTTCACACTATTGTGCACATTCACACCAGGAGCCACTTGTCTCCTCTGCCCTCTCCATCCAATCAATCAGTCAGACTCTGCAGCAGCTTTTAAGAGACTGGACTCCAATCTGACTGCAGAAGGATTGCTGAAATGATTGGTCAATTATTGATCAACAGAAAATATGTTTTGATAGCTGTTTAATCAGGTCAGCAGAGACTAACTGGGGTTGGGGGTTCTCATCAGTTTACTCAATGATAGAAAAGGGCTCCCTTAGGGGAAGAAGGTTGGGAATCACTGGTTTTAATGGTTTAAATGTTTAAAATCTCTGATTCCCAGTTCTCCAATGTGAAGATTTGTTGCTTTTGTTTTCAATCATTGTAAACTGAATATGTATGAGTTGATCTGTTGGTCAGACAAAAAGATACATGTAAAGATAGATATTTCATTATTTTCAGACATTTTATAGACTAAATAATGCAATTGGAAATAATTGCTACTTGGAGCCTTAAAATGAAATATTACTGAATTTAAATGCCCAACAGCTCCAAATCCAGGTCCTAATAGATCCTTCCCTACCTGAAGTATTTCTCCATGTCGATGACCACCAGGCTGAGGGTCTTCCCGGGGTTACGCCTCTGCTGCTCCTGCACCCAGGAGGTCAGAGTGGGGCCGGAGCCTGGCCCGCCGTTCCTCTCCTCCTGCATTACAGGGTATGTTGGTGTAGCAGGAAATGTACTGATGTATGAAACAGCTGCAATGCAGCTATAATCACAATATTAAAAATTAAAAATAATGTTGAGTGCAGTGAACCATTTTTATGCACTGCAGCAAACAAAACTCTACGTGTACAACTAAAATGTTAATAACAATCTGTAAATACAATTTGCATGGAACCACTGACTTGGACAAGAGAATTTAATACAGCAATAAATAAATAAAACTTAATATGAACAGAATTGTGTATATAAAACTAGTGTATATGCATTTCTAATTATAGCGTACTGCACCCGCTGAAAGGAAAGGACCTGATGATATTCTGTGTTTGTCTTCCTTTCAACAAAGGATTTCTTTTTAATAATCAGAACCAGTAGTTTTTTTAGGAAAAAAACGGGAATATATATATATGGAAAATATCAGTTCCATATACCTTTTTGAGGAAATCAACTGTGTAGTAAAAGACCTGGTTTGATCTGTTTTAATCAGTGCTGCCCAGTTTCTCCCCTGAACAGCTCTCATTTCATTGGTTCATTTAGCCAACAATTTGTGCCACCTGATTGTTTTTTCCTTCTCATTTTAAGCAGCTCAGGGTTCACTGACTTTTACCCCTATTTTTAATTAAGTCTTGTCACTAATTTCATCAGAACAGTATACAATAGAATACTCTGGTTGTTCACATACTTTGAAGCAGCACTGTATCTACATTAGGGCTGTGCGATATGGTGAGACGGACCAGAAAACCGTACTGTAGGAGCCATTTTTGTTTGTTTATTAAAAGAACTACAAGGCGTTGCATTTTAAGTTAAAAATGGCTGCACGTTCAGAATGAGATAAAAGCAGAAACAGGCATTGTTTTTTAACTGCTTACAAGCGAGCTGAGTTGTTTTGCTTTCCTTTAACATCTTCAATCACACATTGGCCGTGCTGCAACCGAAATACAGACCTTCAGTCAAATCATCTCATCAGGTAAGATACAGATATTGTGGATATAAAAGAAGCGTCCATTAAAGGGACGGGTCGATATACAATATTATCATGTAGCATGATAACACTCGTGGTCCAACATACAGTCCTATACTGCATCAGTATCTTTGTAAATTACACTGCAGACCGGTCCCCACGGCAGACTCAAAAAAAATTCAAGTATTTCTGATTCTGAAACAGCTACATGTGCATGTTCAATTGAAAATCAGTAAAAAGGTTCTAAATAAAAGCAGGAAAACAATCAAATTTGGTATATATTATATAAGTACCCTTTATTTGTCAAGTATATAATTCAAAAAGTAATAAGATTGGCCATTTCATTTGGTCATTCATTTTATAGAAACTATTTATTCATTGAATTTACAGAAAATGGGATTAGCTGACAATGAGAAGAAGAGAACAGTTTTGATATTTTTTTATAATAACACAAATCTCAAGCTCATGTCAAACATTACTCCTTTATATTTGTATATCCGTACTGTAAAGGATGAGGAAAATGATCTCGAATGCCACTGGTGAGTTCTGCCTGTTGTAGCTGCTGCCATCTGGAAGACGCTATAAATCACTGCTCACCAAGACAAAGTATTTCAACAGCAGCAGGTTTATTCCGACTGCAATATGGGCTCTAAACCCCTCCTCCTCCTGCTGCTGCCCTCTGAGAGCTGCACTGGAGCTGTGATCGTTGTGGATATGTAATATGTTGTTGTTTGAAGCTGATGTATATTATGGCCATTTGTTTTTTGCTGTTTCACACTTTACAGGAAACAAATACCATCTTCTGAGCATTCAAATGAATTTAGTTCTAATTATTTATTGGTTGTAGTTCATATTTTTAATTAACATACTTCTACTTATTACTTTATTACTATACTCTGATGTCATGTTTGCATTCAAATTTGTATATACACCAGAGCTATGTTCTATATGTATATGAAATCTGTCATTTTATTCAGGCAACGCTGTGTTTCACAGGTTGCCTGTCGATGGCGTCATATCCCCTGATATGCCAGAAGCTGTCATACATTGACTTTATATCCAGTCTGAAGCCACATTTTTACCATCCACTGCTTTTTAACTCGCTTTTTAAACCAGATGAAGGATTTTAGTGATCAGACGTCTGGATCTTAAGTTATCAGAGGAACAAGCTGTGTTTAAAGCAGCGAGGTCAGTCGCTCTGTTAAACTGTGACCACCAACCTGAATGTAGCTGTGGATCAGAGTGATGATGTCTTCAACTGTCATCTGCATCACAACGTGGTCCTCTGGCACACACGCTCCATCATCTGGCTGAGGCAGACAGGGAACAGATAGGACTTCAGCTGCTTCTCGTTTGTTTAAGGCAATTACAGCAAGGTGTCACAAGAAATATGACAAGTGTATATTCATGCTTCACCTTGAATAGAACACAGCGGCGGGTAAATGATGTGTGTGTGTTATCACCTGTGCACAGGGAGCCCTCCTCATCCAGCTGACACTGCGTGGGAGGGGCTGTTTCTCGATGGCGCAGCTGCAACCCAGAGCCTGCACCGTCGCCAGCAGAGTCCCACCACCTTCCAGCTGCAAGAGAGCTGCAAACACACACACCGTTAGCAAACAAATCAAGCCCACAATAAAGCCACGACACAGCTTCAATAAGCAGAAAACAATAAGCACACAGGATTTATCGGCAATATAAAATCATCTTCGATAAACCTGCAGACACCACCAGGGCACGACTGGCTTCAAACTGATTTTGTTATCCACTTCTGCACAGTGCCAGGTATCCTCACCTGGGTCCACAGCCACCACCATGTGCTTGATGCACTCCTCAGGCCTCAGGGCCTTGGCAGCCTCAGCCAGAGCTTTCTTCTCTGCTTTCTGTCTCTCTTGTTCTTGTCTGAGTGCCTCTTTGCCCTTCTGCTGTCTCTCCCTGGCCTGTCTCTTACTCAGAGCCTCCTCCCTGGAGGCCTGGATCTCCTCCACTGTCCGCTTGGCAGGTTTCTTCTTGGCAGGAGACGCGCCGGTGCTTTCTGTGCCGGAGAGAGGGTTCAGAGGGAGAGCGGCCACCTCCACTGAGCCGCCTGGGACCCCGTGGCTCACTGTTCTCACCTGATGGAAGCTGAGCGGGCGCTTTGGCTCTGGAAAGCCGTTCTGGCAAGAGAGAGGCAAGCCGGCCAGATTGGATGGCAAATACGGCTCAGCATCTTTCCCATTAGTGACAGCGGAGGAGGCACTAATCAAATTGTCTTGCCTCTGTTTGAGTCTCTGTGCCAGAGGGACATAAGGTGCATCGTCATCAGAATCGCTGCTGATCATCATTACATCGGCCGTTCCCTTACGTGCGTCCGCATTGCCCTTTGCCGAGAATGTGGCTGCCATTTCCGCGTCAGAGCCATTCTGGTGTGGTTTCTCTGTGTGGTTCTGGGAGGATTGGCTGAGGTGTCGACCCCGCTGGAGGAAGTCAAACACGGGCAACTCCTCGTCAAGGTCACTGGTGGAGTCGCTGTAGCTGCCCATGTTCTGTCATGTCCCAGCAAAAGTTACTGTGTATGAAATATGAGACCAGAATTATTATAGTATCAATAAAAACAGGCCTTTTCGTATCCTCAGAAATTCCAGCCCACCAAGCTTCATTCAGAAATCAGTCAAATTTATTTTGCTTCGTGTTAGTAAGTTATTGTGTTGTCTGCCAGATCAACATATAACATATAACCCACCAAGGAGAACTTATTTCAGTAAAACTGTGTTTTTTTAGAATTGGTACATTATATATAGCTTTGCCCAAATCAGCAGAACTTGCCCAAAAGAAATAAATTACTTTTTTATCGAGGTTTGGCACAGAAAACAATGTTCCCTTAAAAAGAAAAGGCGAAACACGACAAAGGCAAGCCGAGCTCAAACACCTGACTACAGCTACCACTAGCAAACGCTGCTAGCTGGAAGTGGCTTTACAACGTAACTTACTTTGCGTACTCACTTTCTACGAAATCTTGCATACAGTATTAATTAGTAACGTTAAGCTATTTAGGTAAAAAAAACATAAAAATACAAAAACTGCTACTTGTACTAGGTGCTAGCTGTAGTTTGTAATGATTGTATTCAATAAACATACATCACATTGAGTTGTGTCTTTCAGTTGAGCTCGTTTGATTTCCCCGGGTTGTGAGGTAATGGTGCATTCACGTACATGGGACGACCCTAAACTTCCGTTCCAAAGACCAGTCTTTTAACATTTAACTCATTCGCGTAGCGTACTGTCCCGGAAAGTAAAGACAAATACTAACATTAAAACAGATAAAACATTCAAAACATTCAAAACATTCAAACAATTATAAAATAAAAGTAAAATAAATTTTAAAAAGAAACTACTCAACACTAGTATTACATTGAAGACAATTATTAAAAACAATAATTGTAATAAATACCTGATTAAAATATACATATATATATACAAATATCCATGCGTTTAAAATACTATTTGTAGTGTTTTTTTATCAAGCAGACGCACTTTTAATGGCATTTGGCTACAATTTAGGTGCTAATAGTGAACAGATATTTAATGTGTTGTTTCCATACAGTCACTATGTTGTTTCAAGGGAGCCCTGAATGCAACCAAACGTATCCGGATGTGACGCAAACGCGCAAAGGACGTAACGTCTTTCAAGATGGCAGCGCTGGCGTCCTTGATGCTGAAGTCCAGAGCAGGTATCAAATACATTTAAATAAGTATTTCATACATTGTTCCAATATTTCATACATTGTAACAGTTTACAAATAGCTCGGGAGAACGACAGAAGTTTGCGTATTTTTTCCCAGCAGCCCCGTGCTTCCTGTAAAGGTGCGTTTTAAACACGGGATGTTCGACGTGCTAACGTAACTAGCTCTGCTGGCATTGTGTAAATGAGCAATGAATGTCACACACAGTGATAACAGTGTACACATAACAACGGGTTGTTTATGTTTACACTCTCATACACAGTGACAACGGTGTGAACATAACGATGTGTGTTTACCACTCTTATTAGAAATGATTTAAGATGTTCGCAGATAATTCCTGACATATGATCAATAAGTAAAGCACTGATAGTAGTAATAATACTTTCCCCAGTAAATAGTAGTGTAATTAATTAGTAATACATTTCAGTAATAATATCACAGTCACCGCCACAAAGAGAGTTAGTTAAATCCTTACTTCCTTATAGACACATCTGTATAAAAAAAGCTCTTTATAGTGTACATCTAACTGTTATTCTCTTTATTCAGTTCTTATTATATCTTGTGTATTTACTATTCTATTTTTTATTTAATGTGTATTTTCTTATCTACTGTGTTGTGTTGTATCTGAAGTTGCTGCAGCGAGTGAATTTCCCAGTGTGGAATCAATAAAGTCTATCTTATTTTATCTTTTGTTGTCACCCCCTACTCATTTGAAAATTGTTGGATTCATTTTTGTAGTCATAGAGGAACCTGGTTTGGAAGATGGAACCATTCAGCAGCTCCAAATACTCCATTACTTAGATCTTAACAAACAAACTGGATTTTAATTGTCTTAAGTCAGAATTTTGTGGGGAATAGCAGTAATATAACTGGCAATGTAACTAATTACTCTTGGCAGGGAGTAATAAGTAAAGTAATAATATTATTTTTGAAAAGAGTTATGAGTAATAAATTCCATTGTTTGAGTAACGCCCAACACGGCTCATGAGTTAGATTGAGTGAGTGCCTGCTCGATATCAGGGCTGGAACTGAACGTGTGTGACGTCACATTCATTCTCTGTGCTGCTTTCAGGCCTGCTGGTGCCCGCTCAGTGTGCTCTTCTGGACTCTGTGAGGTTCGCCTCTAAGAAGTCTGGCGGAAGCAGCAAGAACCTCGGAGGAAGGAGCGCCGGCCGAAGATACGGCTTCAAGAAACAGGATGGTAATAACAAATGACGTCAAACCACCCTGTGGCTTTGGTTAACAAGAATGATATGGAAATGAGTGATTGTTTAATGTTAGGATTAGGCTTAACCTCTGATGACATTTTCATTCATCATTGTTGTAGGCCTTAAGTGATTCTTACATTTTCCAATTGTAGAAATGTGTAGCCATTATACAGAAAAGGTTATGTCCTGATCTGGTCCCATCTCTATATTTCATCCTCAATAGCGGTGGCTACTAGTCTTGAGTCTCCCTAGGTAAATTCCAAAAATCCCCCAAAAATCTTAAGGCCTCCGCACACCAACCGGACGGCCGACCGTCGGCAGAAAAGCAGTCGGACTGATCAGTCGGCTCCCGTCTCCTCGAGTCGGTCAAAAAAGTGCCTCCGAACACACCAAACCGACGCCAACTGGAGCGTACGTTCTGTAGATTAACACCGGCCTTCTAATTTAAAACACCATTGTGTGGGATTTAGTGTCATCTAGTGGCAAAGTTGTAAAAACACGGTGGTTTAACATGGCAAGCTTCACTTAAAGAATATCACCAGAATGGTTTTTTTATATTGGGTTAGCTGTGAGAGTGTCTAACATGTTGTCTGAATAGTGAACTTGTAATGCTGTAACGATAGCTCTCCTTTCATTCTCTCACAAGGTAACTTTGTCCATGCCGGTAACATCCTTGCCACACAGAGGCTCCTGAGGTACCACCCAGGAGCTCACGTAAGTCACACCTTCTGCATCCAAAAAGAGTGGATCTGACGCAGGGAAAACACACACGTTCTCATCGCGTCCCCCGCTCCCTCTCCCGCAGGTCGGCCTGGGAACCAACAACACGCTCTACGCTCTGGAGGACGGCCTTGTCAGGTTCACCAAGGATGTCTACATCCCGCACCCGCGCAGCCGCGAGTCCACCAAGGTCATCACCAAGCTGCCGAAAGGAGCCATTATCTACAAGACCTTCATCAACGTCCTGCCAGTCAAACAGGAGGGCAAGTTTAAACTGGTGGACATGGTCTAAAACTAACAGGACTAGACCTGGAGCTCATTATTTCCCAGGTATTATTGCAGTGGTCCAGGACAAAGACGGACTGGCTGACATTTTGGCTCGCGGTCTGGAAATCAGTCAGTGAAATCTCCTCAGCTCCCTGTCTCTGAGTTCCATAATGATGTGACACTCTGTATTGGACACATGAACCGGTTAGAAGTGTGTAACTATGTGCTGGTGTCATTCATTAAAGTTAATGTTCTCTGACGTCCTTCATGTTCACCCAGGACTTCCCACCTTAAGGAACTGAGGTGCCATTGCCGCAATACTGAATATGTACATTATTTACTGTATTAAAGTTTTATATGTAAAAGTCTCATTTGATGACTTTTGTGTTATCTGTTATATTGGAAGTACGTAAAGAACCAGAAAACAATGCTTTAGTGAGTCCTTAAAAGGAATCTGAATTTTAGGCCTTTAAAATGTCTTAAATATGATTTCACAGGTCTTTAAGTCTCCATGAAACAAGATCTGAGTGCTATTTCTGTATTTCCTGTAAAAACAGGCAGTAATGGACGGGCTTGTCGCAGTAGCCATGCTGTTGCTAGCTAGCTAACCAATGAATGACTAATGAGTTGAAGAATGATTGACCGGTTGAGATTGGTTAGTTCATGCTTATGTAGGCATGTGTCACATTTTGTTTAACAGGAAGAAAAAATGATTGGATTTCTACATAAAAATACAAAGACAGAAAATTTGAAGGGTTGAAATGACATTTTCCCAGACTTTAAAAATGAATTGGATTATGAAGTTAACATTATTTTTAAATTAAGTTAAGTTAAGTAAAAGTAAATGTTTTTGGTAAAAATGTGTGTTGATCATGCTGTAACTATGATTAGGATTAGGAATAAGGAACTTTGGCTGTAAAGACATTAGAGTCGCATTGGAAGTCAGAAATGTTCAGTTGAAATAGTACAGTAGTTCCAGGACTCCAATTTTCCTTCATTTTCTTGCTACTTTTTTCACCACTATGGACATGAGATAGGTCTTAAATTGCTTTCATAATGGTCTTAAAAAGGCCTTATCTAACTGTAGCAACCCTGTCCTTGCATAGCCCATAAACCATTAAATACTTATTTAATGCCTTATAGTCATTTCCTTATTTTGTCACATTCATCAAAGTTGCAGGCTGGTTTGTAGCACCGGGGAGACTTGTTATTACATAGATATTTAAAGGAAGGATATTGGTTCATTTTGCAAGATTAAGGGGTACATAGATTTTTGTTTTTCAGTCTTACACTAACAGTAATTTATCAAAGGATGGGTCTTTCAACTTTAACTACAACTGTTGCTAATGTAGCCACAAATATTAAACATAATTGAAGAGAGTCAAATAAGATTTGAAAGAAACTTATGAGGCGCTTCACAAAAAAGAAATCCGGTATGGTTAGAGCAGTGCAGTACCAGAAACTAAACACTAGATGTCATACAACCACTACTACATTATGTGCTCCCTTGATTTTAGCCTTACACTATGTGCATCAGGGTTGCAGTCGTAATTTCACATGTCACTGTCCTGCAAAAAACAGCAGTGAAGTCTTCAGTGCATGCAGATGGACAGAGGGGACGCTCCGCTTTAATGCAGTGAGCTGGCAGCAGATTCACCATCAGGCTGTTCGGTTCTTCTCAACTTTTCACAACCTTTTGACTTTTTTGGAGATTCATTATGAGCTAAATATGAGCAAACCACATCTCCACTGTCCTTTTAAAGCATTTTTTTAGTGTTAAAACAAAGGACAAAATTTAACTTTGATTGTTGCTCATTTTGATCACAAACATTTAATGTTACAGAAAAGAGAAATTCCCTTTATTTGGGCCTTCCCCACTTTTCATTAAGTAAATGGTAAATGGCCTAGCCTCTTTTCATTGGTTCCCTGTTCATTTTAGACCTCTGATTACCTTCAAGGCTCTTAATGGTCAGGCCCCATCCTGTATCACAGCCCTTACTCACTGGCACTCAGCTCCTAGCTCTCTGAGATCTGACAGTAATCTCTCCTGAATGTCCCACATGTAACGGAGTTACAAAAAAAAGACGTAATGAGAATACTGTTACATTTAGTAAAAATAGGGATTATTTAGGAGGATTACAATTTTAAAATACTCAAGTCTTTATTTTAAAATAGAGGAGAGAGTGAGAGACAGAGAGAGAGACAGACAGACAGACACAGACAACAGTAGCAACAACTACATTAATAGTAGTGACTGATGATGATGACCATTAAGAAGATGATGACGACGACAACAACAATGATTGGGGACAATGAGCAGTGATTATAGTAATAATAATAATAATAATAATAATAATAATAATAATAATAATAATAATAATAATAATAATAATAGCAGTGGGAGTCAAGCAGGACCA